AAATATTATAAAATTGTTTAAACAATAATTATTTAAATAAACAACTGAAAATTGGTATTAATTTTTAGTTGTACGATAAATTTCTAAAAATCTTTCAAAAAAAATAAATTGTGAATAATTATAATTTTAATTTTTTCGTTTACTTTTAAAATATTTATCTAAAATTTATTTTTTATTTATAAAAAAAAGTATAAGAATCTTTTGGATACTTAATTAATACCAACAACATGGTGCAACATGCAAAAATTTTGGTCGTGAAAATTAACATAGTAAATAAATAAACATAATAAATTAATCATTTTTTAAAGTAACTGTTTATCGGCATGTCAAAAGTCCAATAATTAATAATAAAATGTAGTTGAAAATATGATAATTGAATTTTTTAGTTGCGAGACATCGATTTAAAAAAAAATCATCGAAATTGGTCCATTAGACGCTGAGATAAGTGAAATTTTTCCGAGTGTCGCAATTTTGAACTCGAGAATTCAGATCGGAGTAGCTGTGTGTTTGCTCCCCCCACCACTGATACCTCATTGATTTCACGCGGTCTTGAATATCTTTGAGTGACATTTTAAATGGGACGCCCGTGATTGCAAATTTTGAAAATTTATATAAATTATTGCAATTGTTTATAAGCGTGAAAATTACGAAAATGATTAAACATCATCACCACGGCTCACCTAATAGTTCGATTTGAATTTTTCAAAAAACATTTTAAAGCTTGAGAGCTCTTCTTTTTGTGGTGAAATTTTCAAGTATTCAAAGGCTTTAGATTTTTAGAAATTTGATTTTGAAAATGTTTTAATTTAAAAAAAAATAAAAAATTTAAACAATTATTATGTAAAAACTATCGAACCGAATTGGATGAAATTTGGTGTGATGATTCTATGCGCTAAGAAGTTTAATTGAGAAAAGTATGAAGATCCTAGGTATTATTCAAGTGTCTGAAAAAAATTGACATATAAACTAGCATCTTTTGCAATTTTTTAAATGATTTTTCCGATTTTTGCAATAACAATAATTATTTTTTCGAATTGAAACTAACTCTATCTAGTTCAAAATTTAATTACAAAACCTTTTTTCCTCTTCCATTTTTGTCTAAAATGAATAGTTGCTAAGTTGTCGACGAGAAATCCAAGAAAAAAATGAATTTTTTTGCTATTTTTTTATACTTTTTTGCAATACCAATTAAGCCCTAGTTTTTTTTTATTTGCATAGAAAAATTATCATTTCTGATGTTATTTAGAAGCCGTTAAAGCAAAAATCTCCGATATGCGTTTTACCCAACCCGAAACAGATACGGCCTGGACTATAGGTATCTATTTATACTATAAAATATAGAGCGTCCCATTAAAATAAAAATGTCGGTAATGTTATAGAGCTGTCAAACATGGCTCAAAGAAATTGAAGATATTGCAGAAAAGTGACAATTTATATTTACTAATTACCCTGTTTCAGCGATTTTTTGACAACTGGAAAAAAATATAAATTTTGTTCCATCATTTTGTGATATACTGTATGTAGATACTTGAAAATGTGTATTCATATCGTAAACTGTCTATATTTGAAATTGTTGATTGACGACCACGTCTGGCGGTTCAAATATTTTAAAATTTTAAATAGAAAAACAGCGAAGATGTATCCAAAACCAATGTTACATGTATATTTATTTCTACCGTTGTGTGTACTATTTGTAACGTTCCTACATATACGTGATATAATTTTCTCTTTATATTTAATCATATGAAACAAAAAAAGAGCAACTAAGTAATCATCTCTTACTCTAAAAAAGTGCGAACATATTGGTAACTTATGGAATCGAAGGAAATGACACGTATTATGATACGATACAGCACAGTGTTCCATGCTTAATCAATACATAAGCGAGATTGTGGAAATAATTACATTGATAAAAACATTCCGATGTTGTCCAATAGTCTGTGATGCAGCAATTGCAGCTTCAACCCGGAATGATACTTCAATATCACTGAGTTTTCTCTGTTACACAGTTTTGTTTTAAGTAAAAGTCTATAGGAAGTTTCAGGACAATGAGATAGCCTTAGAACCCGACCGTCTCCTAGTATTGAAGTAAATACCACAATTCCTGAAGTCCGTCGGGCCAAACTTCTTCAGGAATAATTTGGGAAGCTCAAATAATGCCGTCAAGTTTGGCGGTTTGGCAACATAAGGTCCCATCGTTGTCATACAGAAATAATGCAGATTTATTAGGTAATATTTGGTCAAGTCGTAAGAACGTTTTTCATATTTTTGCACGTTTGCTTTTAAAATTTGGTACATGCCCCGTATGGCAATTAACACCGAATGAATTCTGTCCATTATAAAGAATGTTATAGAACGAATTCGTTCGCCCTAGACACTATACATACAGCGAACGAACGAATTTGTTCGCTTAATGCTACAAACAAAAAAAGTGTTTATCTATGTTCGATTGTTGAGCGAAGCTTAATACAACTCAATAAATGTGTTAAGGTGGGTACTGACGTAAGCATGTTACTGCGGAGGATCCGAAGAAACAGAGCATGCAGAGCAATTATTATTATCTAACGTTTGTAGATTTCGTGTCAATTTAGGTAATTATTTTATTGATTTTTAACTGAAAAAATGGAACAAAGAATGGAAGCATGTTTGATATTACGAAAAATATTACGCACTATGGAATCACTTCGTATACTGCAAGCTTTTGCTCAAAATATGTTAAGTCTGTTCGTCTGTGCGCGCTATGCTCGTTCGGTTCGTTCGGAGTAAAAAGGTCAAGTTCTTTATCATTTAATATAAGCAAATTTGTTTTTTCGCCTGGGGTTTACATATTCGCACAGTGACATCCAACGTACACATTGAATTAACGAATATCTTTGTTATTTTAATGCATTTTCAGACGTTCATTAATAAGTTGAATATGTTCATAAAAAAATTTAAATGAAACAAATAACGGTTTTGTTTTTACGATTAAATGAATATGTTTTTAAAAAATAAATGACTTCTAAATATGGGATATCCAGTACGATGTTTCATTAGTTTTCTGTTGTTTATCGATATTATCAGGTTCAGTTTACCCAAAGATTAATTATTTCAGCAAAAGAAGAGTGGTTTTCTAAGCCAAAAATTTCTTTTTTTTTCCAGTATAGAATTAATTAATCTCAAGGTACGGTAGTTCTTGTACAACAATAATTTACTATAATTATTTTTATTATACAGAGTGCCCCAAAAAGATCCGAACCCTCTAACTTTTCAGCATTGCGTCATATCAAAAAAAGTTTCACATTGATTGATATTCAAGGTCAAAGCAAAGTAATTTTTTATGCTAGCAATCGATAGATCTTCATTTTACGTTCGAATATGAGGTTAGAACATTTTTTTCTGGATGTTTCTCTGAACAAATCGGTAAAAGTTTTTTAAGCACATTTTGTAGGATTTTGAAAGACAAAATTAGAAGGTAACCTTGTATTTTATCTTCAGCACAAGTTGCAAGGTCAAACTAAGGTCATCTTAAGAATGGATTACACTTTTTTTACTGCAGCAATAGATACAACGCCAAATTTTATGTCGGAATCTATAGTACGATCATATTCGATGCAAAGTAATAAGTCATTGCCTGTCAAGGGAACCAATGAAGTACGCCTTTAAGGGTTTTACAAATTGAATAATTTCTTTATACATTATGAAGGGACGAGGGGATCAGTTCAGGTCTGGCACCCTTGTTGCTACAAAAATTCCTTTATTCTCATAAACTATTTATTTTAAATGTAATTTATTATAAATCCAATTTGTTTCCTAAATTCCACATATGTACTACATTTTACCTCTGTACGCGCCACTGTAATTTACTTGTTTTTTGGAAGCGCTCTCTAATTGACGGCAAAGCTCGCCAGGTTAGTATTTGACGTATAACCGACCAGTTCGTACACTCGATGCACCTGGGCGGCTACAGCTACTACCAGAACACAGTGCGTATGCAGCGGTATTTCAGATTTTACATTGAATTTCATTTTAAATTTGAAATGATTTATCTTACGCCTCCTAAAAATGATGACACGATTTTTCTTTGATAAAAGGCCGACAATTTTTTGCTCTACTTTGCATCGTAGACGATCCTACTATGGTATCAAAAAATGTTTTTGGGTGTCCTTGTAGATAATTTGAAGGTTAAACTCATTTTTCACAACAAATAATGGAGCTAAAACTATTAGTATGATCTTGATTAAAATTTTGAAATTTAATACATTGTTAGGTTAATAATTAAAATTTGATGATAAGGGTATTCTTGAGACAGATATCAAATCAGTGGTTATGTCAAGTCCAAGGTCAGTATCTCATTTATCATTGAAAATTCTACAAATTTTGCTGAAACATTTTTGTTGTGAAAAATGAGTTTGACTCCTAAATGACCTGGATATATAGGAAAAAATTACTGGCCTCATACTCAGACGTAAAATTTAGTATTCTATCGATTGATGGCATGAAAAGTAGGGTATGGAACTCCCTACTACTTAATAATATGAATAATATTTTCGGATTGACCTTGATTTGACCTTGAAAATCAAGGTCAAGGTTAAATTCAATAAATTTCCAACATATTGGTTTCTTGATATCCTACAACTTTTAACTGCATTTTTTTGATCCTGAAAAGTTCTCGAGGGGTTAGAAGCTTTTCGGGACATCAAATGTATTAAACAATTATGATTATTATGATCTACCTAGATGGAAAACACAGAATAAATGGATTTAAATTTTTGGACTGTTTTGGCAGATAATAAAAAATGTCGTTTCTAGGAAATATTTTAAATATGAACATTTTGCATTGGTTTCATACACACATCATCAATGTCTTACATTAAAAATATCTGCATTTATTTCGGTAGATATTACATTATTATAAGAATTATGTTATCCATAAATATGAATGTAAAGGAAAAATACATAAAGCAAAAACTTTGCCGTAAGTAAACATTAATCTCTGGTTTTATTGCTACTGTACTTACCGATCAATGGATATGGACATGAGAGAGAATATAGATGCACATATGGATAAAACGGCTGTAAACTGAGTTATCTTGCAATATAGTTCGCCGAAAGGCCAATGTGAATTTAACATGTAGACAAAATTGAATATAACGTTGAAAATCGACACCATTATATCTGCTACAGACAAATTCACTGCAACAAAATAATCACAATTATTTCCTCTTCCATTTCTTATAATCAAGAAGTATAAGTGACGAATTGGTATATCAAAGCGTTTTACAATGTATTGAGTGCGAATACTTAGTGGTATTGTCCTCATAATACAGCAGTTAATGAATATATAGACACAGCCTTCATAAATGATTACAAGCTACGTTAAATTTCGGTAAAATTAAAAATTATTTAAACAATAAGATCAAGATTATGTTAAAACACAACATTTTCACTGGCTGGCTTGGCATTGTTCATTGTAAACGAATCATTAATACTGATGACGCTAAGATTTAGGAATTTTTAGAAGACAATACCAGCCGTGCAATGTTGGTTGTCTAATCTCGGTAGTCACCTGACTTGTAAATATTTATGAAGGCTCTGTATAACAAGATAAAAAACAATGAAATAAACAGCTCTTTGCAGAGTATTAGCTATTTTGTTTTAAAATTTCAAAGGCAGAGCTATTATATTCTAAAACCGATACAGAAATTGAATCATATTACAAAGTTAGTGTCGGTGTTTAGCAATGCAGCAAAAATTGGCCGACGTAAAATAACCAAAAGGGAAAAAGGAAAATTACAAATATTCTTGGTATACAGGGTGTATTTAAATAAAGGGGCACAAATGATACCTACCAGAGATTCCTTAGCTGAAAATATGAAAATAAGTCAGTTTAACCTAACCTACCCATATTCCAAGTCGCATAATAAAAAAGACACAGGGTGTGAAAGTGAAAAATAAAAAATGGTTTTCCTTAATAATTTCTAAAGTTATAGTTAGACATCTTTAAAATTTCCTAGCGAGTTTTTTTCAGGGTGGGAAAAATAATATAATAACTTTTTTTGGCTGTTGTATGCGGGGCGCCCCCAGCAGGCAATGTTTGTATTAAATATGTATTAACTTTTTTTGTCAGCCCTCGTATACAGCTTTTAGTAACAAAATATAAAATATTGGACTTTTCTTTAACAAAAAGTCAACCGTTGCGGAGATATTTTTGATTTTATAAATTAGGATTTCGGATTTAATAGATAGGTATATTAACGTCCAAAACGAACATGTTTGTTAATAAATTCAGAACTCATTGCCTCACAGCATTTATACTTAGTAGGGATACATACACAAATGTGTATGGGTAAACAAATATTTTAAAATTAATAGTGTCTATTAATAAGTGTCTAACTTCTATAAAAAATGCATTTTCTTGCATATGAAAATATTTGAATCGTGTAGAAATCTGTTTTGCGAAAATAACAGAAAAAAAAATAATTATTGCAAAATATACAGGGTGACTCAAAATTCACTCACCAGCGGCCGGATATATATTCTAAAATAAAAAATAAAACAAAAATGTAGAATACTAAACTCTCGAAAGCGGAGCCGTTTTCGAATAAATTATTAATTTTAGTTCAATAAATGCCCAATTTTCGACTGACTAATCAAGTTGGCCGGACAAAAATCTTGTTGACACGGATTTACTCGACAATGACGTATAATATTTATTTGACTTTTAGTATTTGTTGTTGAGTTCAAAATGGCAGGGTTTGCTTATACAAACAGAGAATACGTCGATATGATTAAAGCTTTAGGAGCTTGTGACAATAACGCTCGTGCTGCCGAGCGTTTGTACAGGGAACAATTACCGAATCGCCATCATCTCGATCACAAAACAATCCAAAATGTAAAAATACGTACTGTGAAAACAGGACGCGTAGCTCCAAAACGTCCTTTGTATGACGGTCGGCTTCGAAATTTGACATGGCAACAGGAAGAACGGTTACTGTAGGATGTTGAGAATAATCCTACCACCAGTACACGCATATTATCAAGAAACAGGAATTATGTCCAATCCACTGTCCATAGAGGTCTTCAAAGGTACATACAGCTTGTATCCGTATCATGTAGAGCCAATTCAAACGACCAATTAAGAGTAAATTTTTACAGATGGGCATTACAAGAATTTCAGCGCAATCCACATTTTTTTCTATAACTTACCGATGAAGCTCATTTCAACCAACAAGGAGTTTTAAATCACCACAACCTTCATTATTGCCATTATGAGAATTCTCATAAAAAAACGTCAACGGAATCAGCAAGACGTTGGTCTGTAAATGTTTGGATAGGTATTTACGGGAAAAGTAAATAAAATAAAAAAAAAAGTATTATACATTTTTGTTTATTTTTTTTTAGATAGTCCAGGGCATTTAGATCAAAATCGACCGGAATAGCGGAAATTTTTAGGTGCAGCAGATATCGAGATGCGGTTTTCTGCATTGTGTTCAGGAAGGTCCCAGGAAAAAAGTCTATATCGTCTGGTTAAGCCAATTTTTGAAAAATGCCTTCTGGGCCGGAAAATGCATTTTCCAATTGCACCATTACTTGCACCATTATAGGAACGACTGGAAACGGAAAAATCGCTCGGAAATCGTTAGGCGGGGGTTTTCGGGGCTGCCGAACTCGATTCTGACATTAGAATTACCCGGGGGTGCACGGGGGTGGCTCTGTGGGGATGCGCGGGGGGTGAATTGGGGGAGAAATGGCAGCGTGCATGAAAATCGCTCCAAACTCGTTACTCGGGGGTTTTCGGGGATGCCGAATTCAATTCTGGCATTAGACTTCCCCGAGGTCGATCGGGGGCGGCTCTGTGGGGTTGTCTGGGGGTGATTGGGGGGGGGGGAATGGCAGCGTCCATGAAAATCACTCCAAAATCGATACTCGGGGGTTTTCGGGGATGCCGAATTCAACTTTGGCATTAGACCTCCCCGGGGGCGCTTGGGGGTGGCTCTGTGGGAAATGGTAAAGGAGAAAGTGAAAAATCACAAATTATGAAAATAATACTTTATTAAAAAACCAACGTGGTATAAGAGTGCCGGACAGAACTCAAACACCAAAAAAAGGTCCAAAATCCAAGAAACTTGATTACTGTAGCACTGTATTTACATACAACGAAAAAGCAACGTGGTCCTAAACGGCAGTTGTAATACTGATGCCACACAGACGCCGACTGCGCGCGGGAACTGGACCCATATTTTTTCTCTTCAGTCGATACAGAATATTTCTGTTCGCGCCGGTCCCCGTGGTAACGATACTCCACTCTCTTTATAGCTTTGGCGCCTTTTTCAAATCCAGTTTCGAGGCACAAAAGACTTCCAAAGCAATTGTTTTTATAATATGTGTAATATTTATTTATTTAATATTCAATCAAAATTTTTTTATTCATACCCCCGGGTAATTCTAATGCCAGAATTGAATTCGGCATCCCCGAAAACCCCCGAGTAACGAGTTTGGAGCGATTTTTCCTAACTTCCCTGAACTATGAATATATATCCGGCCGCTGGGGAGTGAATTTTGACTCACCCTATATATTTATTGTCAGTTTAATAGCAACTATTTGAAGAAAAGAACAAAACTAGAAAAACCAAGAGTCACATAAAACAATAAATACCTACATAATCTAATCTAATCTAATTAACTAACAATTAAAAAATAAAAGATATCTTAAAGAATGTTTTCGAAATAGTTCCCATTTTCTTGTAAACATAGTCTAATTCTACGATTAAAATTACGACGTACCCTCGCAAAAATGTTTCTGTCGTTCTTTACTTCCTCAACTGCTACAAAAATTCTTTTCCATACTATTAATAGGGTTGGAATAGACACTATTTTTAGATAATCCCATAAAAAATAGTCTATGGGTGATCGCGCACGTCATTTGACGGGTGCATCATTCCCTCGACCTAGCCCTCCCCCAGGAAAATTTAAATTTAACCGTTGTCTTTAACCAACAGCTAATGTACCTACTATGCGCAGCAGCTCCTTCGTGCGCGTACCATTTGTTTTTTTGATGGACAGTTAGTACCTAAATTGAATATAGGAAAAATAAATGTTGTCCCAGTAGATTTCTGTGCTCTCATTTGGTCACATTTAGAGACATAATTTTAAATACGGATACGTATATAAATGCTGTGAAGCAATGAGTTCTGAATTTATTAACAAAAATGTCGTTTTTGGACGTTAATATTCCTGGATATTAAATCCGAAATACTAATTTATAAAATCAAAAATATTTCCCCAACAGTTGACTTTAGCCATTTTTAATAAGTAATAAGGAAAAAACATTTCTTTTTTATTCACTTTGAAACTCTGTATCTTTTTTATTATGCGACTTGGGATATAGGTATGTTAAATTAAATCAACTTATGTATTTTCACCTAAGTATTCTCTGGTATCATTTGTAGAAGATAATAAACCGGGTGAGACATTTTGACGTTGCTTGTATTGGGATATCGGAGACTATACGAGATAGAAAAAAGATTAAATGTTTAAAGAATTAGAATATTTTTTACCAATTTAATGGACTCTAGCTATTTGGGTTTTTGATATATTTAAATAAAAGAGATTTATTATTTTTATTTTTACGAATTCTTAAAAACTATATAGCAGCATCTTTATAAAGAATTTCATTGTGGATTCGATTTTTGTTTCAATGTTGCAATTTCGAATTACCATCGTTTCCCTTTCAACTGTATTTTGTCTTGCCGTACGGAATTTTATGCTGGACTGCAATTGGTATATTAAAAACTGCATGGTAAATTATAATAATATACAGGGTGTTAGTAAATAAGTGCGACAAATTTCAGGGGGTGATTCTACATGAGAAAATAATGGCAGTTTGCTTATAAACGTATGTCTGCAAATGATTCTTTTTCCGAGATACGGGGTGTCAAAGTTTTTCTTAAAAACTGACGATTTAATTTATTGCTCTGAAACCGGTCGAGATGTGCAAATGAAATTTGGTGGGTTTTAAGAGGTAGTTATTGGGCATTTTTGACACGCAATTAAGAATTTTATCTTCATCATTGGCGCGTGTACGGGTAATAATCTCAATTTTTTAAAGAAAAAAATGGTACACCACTGAGATATTACAAATTAAAATTGAATTTTGAATTCCTCGTTCAATTTGTGACAAAAAATCTCTCTTG